CTGTACTCTCAAGCAACTGCAGAATTGTATAGGGCCCCTTGGTCGCGAGATACTTTGGAATTTTTGGGGTGGTCGATTTTAGAAAAGAATCCTCCGCGCCTTATATGCGTGAAATTAGGGTAACTGAAATAATTTTTAGAATTTTTTGAAAAATTAGGAATAACCTGTGAAAAAATCTTCGCTCCCCCTTTTCTGGATTCTAGGGCTTATGGGTCCGCAAAAATTTTGAGAAGCATCCCAAAAAAATTTCCGAGTACGTGACTGACGTCACGCACCTTCATTTATATAAAATTTTTGCGCTTACCCCTCCCGGACGAAATTTTGGAACCGCCACTGTTAGCTAGTGATGGCAAAGGGCTTCAATAACAACTTTTTCAATTAATCAAAACCATCGGTTGATTTTTCTGATAATCAAAACCACTTCTCATGTCAAACCGAATCAAATCTGGCACTTCATAGGAAATAATTTGAACATGGGAAATAAATTAAACCGTTCACTGTAGTCCCTTTCTGCGAGAAAGAAAACCTCTCCAACCTTTTAAGAGTCCCGAACAACATTATGTCAATTGAGTTCCTTGTTTTGTTCTAGAATGCATTCACAACGAGGAACGAAAAAACTGCTATCTCTACAGGTTTTTCTATGAACTTCTCCTTATCGCTAAGTAGCCCCAAAAATTTTTGACAACCCACCTTATCATAGAAAAATATTTGACAACCTACCTTATCATTTGCCAATTGATGCTTAGTGTTACAACGGGCTTTAGACATCGCATATTTGTAACCAATCTGAAAAGTGGAAGTTATTTACAAATCGGTCTATAACGATCTACTATGCTGCTCACTTGCAAAAGTAACAAATTGCGCAAAAAATTAAGTGAAATCAATAGATTGTAAGAAAACTACTCACAAAGTATCCTATAGCTATTCCTCCTGCTACTATTCCTGCTGCATATAAAAGACCTTTCGAAGCATCGCTTGTTGACTGATCTGAACATAACGCTTAACCACTAACCATATGTTCTTAACTATCAAACCCCTACCCATCGCCGACGACATTCCTGGAGAAGGCAGAAGCTGAACCTGTGGATCAACAGGATTAGTTGCAGCTTGTGAAAGAAATGAAAAACCTTCCCAGGTCATTTTAAACGGGAACGAATGTGTAGAAAATTCAATAATGAGCAGAGTTCAAATTCGATTAGCGGTTGTTGATTTAGCAGGAATATAGTTTTACACATACGATTGTACGCAGCAGACTGGCGATGACTTTCGCCACCATCAATGATGATAACAGTCTTCGGCGGCAATGAATAATACGCGTGAGAGATACGTGATGGTTATATAAGGATGCACATTGTTCATCTTCACAAATGGGTGGTATTAAGAGAAG